GAAGTCCGTTAAAACCGTTACTGCCTACAGAGATCTAACGTTAGTTATTCTGAAACGGTAACGTTAAATCTGTTTGTCTAGTAACGGAGGTAAATATACAGATCTAGATCTAGTCAAATCAGAACTAGGTAATCTGTTTGTCTAGTAACTAAACCAGAACACCTTTGCAAAACACACAGCTTTCAAACTTAAGGTTTTTTCCCAACTTCCAAGCAAATCTTTGTCAAGCCCACATACAAAGTTTGCTCATCGTCTAATAAGTTAGTATCTAAGTTAGCTCTCCCGGCTCACCTGCAGATCTGCGCCCTGCGCGCGGCAGTCCGTGTAGTTCTCCCAGGCCTGGGACAGATCAGCCGGGTGTGAGCTGGCCATGTCCAGCTGACCGCCACCGGCTCCGGTTCATCCACAGCAGCGACCGAAGCTCTAAAATCCAGCGGTGAAGCCCGAGCTGTGTGAGCGGCAACGGCACATCATTTCATTAGGCGTCCATCCGGATTAACGTTAGGAGATGTGAAGTCCGTTAAAACCGTTACTGCCTACAGAGACGAAATAGAACTTTTGAATTCACGACTGGCGCGAATTGGGCTCTGCACTGCATCTGTTCGCATTCAAGTCCGTTTATACCCGTCTGGCTGATTGCAAAAGCAGACAAATTAAGCATTAATATTAATGTAACGCTTAGCGTTGAATACAAGTTGGGGCTTATATTAGCTTCGGCGTCAACATTAGCGTGAATGAACCAGTCGAAATGCAATAACTACAAAAATTGCTTCGTATTTACAGACAGAGCCTGAATCTGGATCATTTCACGCAGACGCAGAATCTCCTGCCGCACAGCTTAGGCTAACACTCGTTGATTTAGTTATGCCAACTATGAGATAACACCAGGCATGTTTAATCACCATATCGATATGATACATCTGAAACGCAAGTTCTGAGGTCTAAAAACAATGACATTTTACGTACCTCGTCTCCGGTCTTCCTTCTAACGTGTACACAAGCAATTTAGAAGGAAAAAATGGCATGCAAAACAGTACAGGAAATAACGCCCACAAAACAGATTCTTTGATGAATAGAAAGTTCAAAAGAACAGTATTTATTTGAAACAGAATTTTTTTAAATATTACATTTCTATTATAAATGCATTTACTGTCACTTTTGATCAAAAGTATGAATTATATTATCATTATTAATTAAATAATAATTAATAATAGCGTATTGGAATGATCTCTGAAGTATCTTGTGACACTGACTGAAGACTGGAGTAATGATGCTGAAAATTCAGCTTTGATCACAGGAATAAATTACATTGTACAATATATTCACATAAAAAAAGTTATTTTGAAATTTATGAAAATAAAGCATGTTTTCCTCCCAAATTCTCCCTACTGTAATGCATCCTGTCCTTTTACATGTCAGTTGTTTGTGTACTGTTTATTATTACAAATTGCTATAATAAGCTCCATTGTGACTCTCCACTAACAGAGAGCAAAAGGCTGTAGGAAGATCAGAGAGAGACACAGACGGCCCGTGAAATCACACACAGCTGCCACAAGCCTTGAAACAGGCCTCTTGACCCGACCTCTGCACAGCAAACACATTCAGGGTTAAAGCGCCAAATCAGTGCATGCTGCTGCTGAGGGAACCGGCGCTAGCACACAGACATATCAAGGCCTCAAAAGAGCAGAGAGCTGTTGAGCGCACAGGTTTAGACTGAACCTTGACCTTGCTTTCCCATCCTAAACCACAACCGAACAACACGATCAAGACCAGGTGAAATCAGCGGAGTTAAACTGCATTTTCTGTGCAGACTGAACCCAACAGTTGTTATTCCTATTATTCTGTTATAAAACACTACCATTCAAAAATCTGCAGTCAGTATGATTTTTTTTATAGAAATGAATACTTTTATTCATTAAGAATGCATTTAGTTGATCAAAAGTGAATTATAAAAGATTTCTATTTTGATTTATAATCATCAGAAATGTGTCTCGAGCAGTAAATCAGCATATTAGAATGATTTCTGAAGATCATGTGACACTGAAGACTGGAGTAATGATGCTGAAAATACAGCGCTGCATCACAGAAATAAATGACATTTTCACAGATATTCACATAGAAAATAGCTATTTTAAATTGTAATAATATTTCACATTTTTTACTGGATTTTTGATCAAATAAATGCAGCCTTGGTGAGCAAAAGAGACTTCTTTCAAAACATCTGAAGGGCCTGTCACTCAATAAAAGCGTGATGTTGTTTAAAGGGTCCTATTATGCTCTTTTACAAAGTCTTGATTTTGTTTTGGGGGTGCACTAGAACAGGCTCTCATACTAAGTTGTTCGAAAAACACATTATTTTTCACATATTTTACATTATTACAACACCTCTCTCCTCAGTCTGGCATGAACGGCTCGAATAGTTCCTGTATCAAATGAAGGCCCGCCTTCTGAAATACGAAATGTGCTGTGATTGGTGAGCTGGGCCGGTGTGTGTTGTGATTGGCTAGCTGGGTCGGCGCGTGCTGTGATTGGCTAGCTGGGTCGGCGTGTGCTGTGATCGGTTAGCTGGGCCGGTGTGTGTTGTGATCGGTTAGCTGGGTCGGCGCGTGATGTGATCGGCTAGCTGGGTCGGCGTGTGCTGTGATCGGCTAGCTGGGCCGGCGCGTGTTGTGATCGGTTAGCTAGGGCGGCGCGGGTTGGGATTGGTTAGCTGGGCCAGGGTGTGCTGG